TGTGCATGGAGGAACGCAACACCACGTTACATTGACGTGCTCCACCTTCACAGGGTTTCAATAAGTAGCGGGAGGATTAGATATGGCACAGGGAGGTAAAGGGGGGTGCTGTGGTTTAGTAGAGATGGATGCTTTTTTTTTATACTGTAATTTTTAAAATAAACCTACTTTTCTATGAAAATTTAAAGGTATTTGTTTTTTGCGGCCCACATAAACTTAAACCTTGTTTATGTGGCCTGTGCCAGACTTTGAGTTTGACATGCTTGACGTAGGGGTTTCCTACCCATTCTCTTTGGTTTTGGTTTCGTTTGATTTTATATTTACCAAAGTTCGCCAAAACTTATCAGGGATTTGTTGCTGAATGAACATGTTGGGCACACATATTCTAAAGTTTTTATGTCTTATGTAAGGAACAGAAATCATTATTGTTGCATTCTCTGTGCCCTTACACAGGGATGTATATTGAGATAAGCAGAATATCATTTCAATATAAGTGAATCTGCTATATGCTAAATTTGGTTTATTTAGCTGCCACAGTTTGACCTGTAAACAATTTTTTGCATTGGCCTCCTCAACCAACTTTCTCTAATTGAGTTGAATAGAAATATGTGTATTTAAAAAGTTTATATGTCTTATTCCATTACAAACATAACTAAGCTTATATCTCACATCGAAACCCCATGAATGTGTAATTCTATATTAAAGCAGAATTATGTATGCAATTTGTAAAATGAGTTTTAATTACTGTGGAGCATTAGTTCTCCCTCCTACCCCCCCACCTCTCTTTCTCCATTAATAGGAAATATTCTATCTATCCATCCATCCACAGGTCTTCCATGCAATGTTATTGCTTTAATAAGCCCATGGAAAAACAATTGATGATTTGACCACGCTGGTTATTTTTTCAACTTGAAAAAGATCTGGTGTGGTTGAAATTTATTTATTTTTTTTTTTTTTTTTTCTTGTCACATGGGTTTATTATAGTCAAATATCTATCTATCTTTATGTGCAAAATAAATATTTTCGTACTAATTTACTTGCACCCTTTTGTGATATTTCATGCATTCTAAAATCAAAGATCCTATCATTTTAGGCCCTTTGGGTTTATATCTAGTAGACAGAAGTATGCTTTTACATTTGCTCTGTTTTGACAACCTGCTATAGCCTAAATTACTTTTCTAAAAATAGCTGTATTTTTAGTTAAAACCGCAGACTTGAAAATCCGTTTTAAATTCAAACCGTAGATTACCTGGGGAAAAAGAAAAATATGAATGCGATAACAGTTGAGTAAATAGCATGGTACAAGAGCTAATGAATTGTTAAAAGAAATAGCCTGATAAGCGATTTATTTATTTTTTTTATTTTATTTTTTTTATATTTTTTTAAGGTTTTAAAACTTGACTTAGAATTGCAGTGGAATATGAACCTGTTTTGTTATTAGTTGGGGTGATAATTATCACAAAGCTTGAAAGAGTTTGTTATATAAATTTATCAATGTGTAGTGTGTGTATACATCTGTCTATCTATTTATCTGTAAAATTATACAAATACATGTGTATAATGCACTTTTACCTAAGGAAGAAGCCTTCTGGAGTTTCACCTTGGGGACGCACAGAAAATCCTTAAATTGCTAAGCAACACATTTTGAGCCTTTCATTTAACCTTGAATGCCATAGAATATGGCACATAACCCTTATGCATCATGTGCTTAAAACATACTTTGTTTATAGTTGTTACCATCACACTTCCTCTAATCTCATGTACGCAATCTTGCTTTAGGTACTTGCTAATAGTGGATGCTTTTTACTTTGTATTTCCTCACTGTATTGAACTGTTTCATTGTTTTCCCAGAGGTAACTTTGTGACAGTGTGTGTGTTTCTTTCCCTTTGTTTTTGCTTGGGAAATGAAATTGGTTTTCTCTGATTACGTTGCTGTACAGCACATATGTGAAAATTACAGAAATCCCAATATGTCCTTGTTGGTAAAATGAAATACAATCTATGTATATGCAAGTAATGCAAAACACTCATCTTCCCCACAGGTAAATAGGGGTACTTCATGGTCCCTTGTTGCCTTTTATTTTAATGTTTAAAATTTTATGAATGTATTTTTAATCTGCTGCACAATAGCCAGCAGAAAAAAAATAAAAATCGGGGCTTTTGCAAGTAATACAGCATGCACATTCACATGTCTGAACTAATATTTTAGCCCTTAGTAACTTTCTAAATCCCTATTCTTCGATAAAACATAGATCAAAAATATCCATATTCTACATAGACACTGAATTACTGTAAAGTTTTTTTTTTATTGCACGGTTGCAACTAATCCCTGAATATAAATCACTTTGCCATCTTACATGCTTGAATTTTTGTGCTGTTTCTGCAAACCTTTGCAAATGGTAGCATATTTGGACCTTCGCACAGGGTTGCCCAAAAGGTCCTGATGTTTTAGAACCAAAACTTCAATTTTAAAGGCTAGCAAAGTATCATTAATTGTAGTTTTTAATCATCTGGGGATTTACCTATGTGGGACCCCTTTTAGTTTTTTAGTTTTTTGTGAAAACTTGAACTATTGTGTATATAGGCTATATGCTTTTTATAGACTGTATTAAAAAAGTCATCGTCTAGGTTTAATAACAAATCCACTTCATGTTCAAACTCTGCATATCTTAATCTCTTATATCAGAAAAGAGAATAAAATCTGGAAAGACTGTTAATAATCCACTTATTTAAAAAAAACAAAAAAACTTTATTTTTAAAGAAGACTAGAATTGACAGCAATTTGTGTACAATAAAGTAACTCCAGTTGAACTCCCCTTTTTTTCAAAAATTTGTTTATGGTTTAGCATTTTGCTTAGACATTAATAATTTCTACAAGCAATATTACATAGATTACATGTCATTATGTTGCAATGACAAATATAGCGCCTTCGTGTTTGTTTGTTTTTTTGGCTACTATTAAAAATTTTAATTATATGTTGTATCTGGAAAAGATTTGTGAACATGATTTTCCGTGGAATCTGGCTATGCCACAAAACCAACACCTGAAATACACAGATCTTTCCAGGTTTCTAGCAGAATCTGTGTATTCTGAATAGTCTGATATATGGTCCAAGGTTTGCCCCCTGAATATATAGTTACATTGTACCTGGATTTTGACTAAACCACCAATATGTTCACTTAGAATGCACCAGTTTTACATGGAATTTGGACAGTCCTTAATGCTTTTACCATGACCAGACCCAAAATAAAACTAGGAAGGCACCTCTTTGGAGAATGTGGTCCAGGACAAAGGTAATTCTGGGCTCTGAGCAAGTATATAGATAGATATGTAAAATCCCTGTTCTAATGTTTTAAACATGTTAAATGAGAGTTCCTAGCAGCCATTTCTGTTCTGTGCTGTTTGGGCTAACGAGGAAGCATTAGCTTGAGCAGAGATGGGTGGCAGTGATTAGCTGAAAATGACAGCTGTCTGCATTCGGCCTATCAGACCTGGCCATAGTAGTATGGATATAGAAATGTCTCATCTCTGCCTTAGACCCTCATTCAATGTCAAAATGCTCAAAAATGGTTTAACACTAAATGAAGAGACAGTGCCAGTCATCACCAAAACCTATTCACAGAAATTGTTACTCCGGAAAGGACTTTTATAATTTTAGTAGATGCAATTAATTGCATGTGTTACCTTAATTAACACACCTGTCACATACATATAAACACTTTCCTCAGTCTGTGTAAAATCCTTTGGTAATATTAACCCCTCAAGGACGGAGCCAAATGTACACGTTGTAAACAAAACCTGGCATTTGCGCTACATGTCTGTCCAACCGTAATTCACCTCTTTCATAGTAAATGCACCCACCCTTATTATATATAATTTTATTCAGGGGAAACAGGGCTTTCATTTAATATCAAATATTTAGCTGTGAAACATAATTTAATATGGAAAAAAAATGGGAGAAAATAAGAAATCTTTTTATTTTCTTTAGTTCTACATGACATTTTAACGGTCAATGTCATAATACTGTTTGCTTTTACTGCAATAAAATACACATATTTGTATTCAGCAAAGTCTCACTTGTAAAACAGTACCCCCTATGTACAGGTTTTATGGCGTTTCGGGAAGTTACAGGGTCAAATATAGCACGTTACATTTGAAATTGAAATTCGCCAGATAGGTTATGTTGCCTTTGAGACTGTATAGTAGCCCAGGAATTAAATTTACACCCATAATGGCATACCATTTGCAATAGTAGACAACCCAAGGTATTGCAAATGGGGTATGTCCAGTCTTTTTTAGTAGCCATTTTGTCACAAACACTGGCCAAAGTTAGCGTTAGTATTTGTTTGTGTGTGAAAAATGCAAAAAACGCCAATTTTGGCCAGTTTTTGTGACTAAGTGGCTACTAAAAAAGACTGGACATACCCTGTTTGCAATACCTTGGGTTGTCTACTATTGCAAATGGTATGCCATCATAGGGGTAATTTTCATTCTTGGGCTACCATAGGGTCTCAAAGGCAACCTAACCAATCTGGCGAATTTTAATGTGAAAAAAATGAAACACAAGCCTTATGTTTGCTGTAACTTTTGAAAACACCATAAAACCTGTACATGAGCGCTACTGTTGTACTCGGGCGACTTTGCTGAACACAAATATTTGTGTTTCAGAACAGTAAAAAGTATCGCAGCAATAATATTGTCTGTGTAAGTACTGTTTGTGCGTGAAAAATGCAAAAAATGTCACTTTTACTGGCGATATCATCGTTTTAATACATTTTACTGTTTTGAAACACTAATATTTGTGTTCAGCGAAGTCTCCAGGGTACCCCCCATGTACAGGTTTTATGGTGTCTTGGAAAGTTATAGGGTTATATATAGTGCTAGCAAATTAAATTCCCTTTACTTTTGGCATGGGTTGTCAGGCAGGTCCTGCTAATTGTAATTAATTAAGATACCAAATTATGTAAAAATATTACATAAATATATATGTAGAATTAATATGTGTACTATTATCAGCATCAGAATCTGCACCAACCTCACTAAAACTCGGGGAGAATATAAGAAATTTTATAAAACTGACCTAATAAGGTTTAAGAGAGAAAAACAAGAGAAGGTAACGTCAGACTACAAGGAGCATCGGGTGTATAAATGGCTCAGTGTCAGGAATGATCTACCATATTTTATAAAGAAACGAAGACCCATTAGGAAACCCAAACAGTATACTATTGACAAAACCTCAGGTGAATCTACTTCTGAATCCGACTATTCTCAGGAGTCACACCTTACACGACAACCAGGAGGTGCATCGGATTCGTTACAACCTTTTTTAGAGACTGCATTACCAGAAGAACCAGGAATACGGAACCGCTATCAGAGCAGACACGGATTGTCAGGCGGAGATACATCACGTGACGTGGGCAGAAGGGTCGTACCTTTTGGGGCAAGAGGCAGACCACCCCGTCAACAGAGATAGTCCCCATCTTTAATTTGTCATCTAGAATCATATCAGCGGACAAATGTGCCTGTTAAGTAAATGACTGTCCTTTGTCCCTACTTCAAGACCCAATCCTTTGGATTGGGAAGTGGAACTTTATAAATTTTGCCGTTCACTGAGACTAAAATAATTTGTTTAAGTCTAAAACCACTGACAGCTCTATTTCAACCCATCAATTTAAGAAAAAGAGCACATTTGATCCTATGCCTAATCAGGCCTCCACCAAGACCTTCTTACGTTCAGTACATAAAGAGTCTGCTGATCATTTGAAAGAAAATCATTTGAGTTTTCGTATACAACATCGTTTAACATGTACTAGTGATTTTGTGGTCTACAAGTTGATGTGTCCATGTGGTCTTGCCTATATTGATAAAACTGATTTACCGTTGAGAGAACGGATTCGGAACCATAGGTCAAGTATTAGAACGGCTTACAGGGATAATAAATCCGAATTACCAGTAGCCAAACACTTTCTTGAACTGGGACACACTCTTCCGTCCATTAAATTTATGGCCATAGACCATGTCCCCCTACCTAGAAGGGGCGGTGACCGGAAAAAGATGCTTCTACAGAGGGAGCTACATTGGATAAGGACATTGCAAACTGTTCACCCAGATGGACTAAATGAGAAATATTAATTGTCTGTTTTCTTATAAGTCTAGTGGATACGGAGGTTGCATTCTACCTGATATATACTGTAGTGGGAGATTTGTGCCTACCCACAAGGGTTAAGTCACTATCTCTTTGGTTCAGATAGATGATGGTTCATAGGTTGCAATGGAGGTACCTGTTGGTTCACATTTGGGTATATTTTTCTCATATTGAGGGGGGAATTTTGGTGCTTACCCTTTAGAAGTTATACCATAATCCCGCAAGCCCGTTATGATGCCATATCCAATGTGAGATCTGTTTACACTAGTAACCTTCAGGTCCACTATGTGCACCATTATGATACTGAATGTCATTTTCATTAACTCTAATGGGGATTATTGATTAGGTTCCTGGTGTGTTTTGGCACCACATTGTGTATAGTTTGTATATTATATTCTTGTGAGATTTGATGTCATGTTGTTGGGGAATCATGCCCACCCTGGGGGATAGGCATATACCCCTATTGCCTTATTGAGTATGGTATTAAGGACTTGCCATTGGTTGTTTGATATTCTCTATATAAACGATTTAGTCCTAGTCTTTGCTGATCTAAGGCAATTTATGTTTTTTTGGCAGTGATTCCGCTTTTATGGCTATTGCATTTATTCTTTTTTTGAGCCCAATATTTTATGCAAGTTTTCCATTAATATTTGAATTTATAATTCCCTTGCAGGGGGACTATATTTGGGCTATACTCTGTTTATTTTAGAGATATGGATTCATCATTTATATTTCCATTTACTTATTTGTTTTTTGTTTTTACTTCCAATTTTGTTTTGTTTTTTCATTATTTAGTATTTCTCAATATGACATGTCAACTACTCTCCCCTTTAGCAATTCTAGTATTGTGCATTTCTTATTAGTAAGCTTTATTTGGGCTTAACATTATAGAGTGATTGCCATGTTCCTATGCTTCCAGCCAAGGGGTTAATATGATTTGTTTTAGTTAGGTTGCTTTGCATCATCATAGCAACGAACTCCCAATGAGGCCGTTTCACGGCCGATTTCGTGACGTGGTAATGACGCTGACGCAACGTGATGCCGTCACATACGCACAGGCTGACGTCGGCCGGAACCCGTGCGATTTTCGGACCGGGCTGACAGGGAGCTGTAGTTTATTCCGGTGGTGGGTAAGTTAATTGTATTTTTTATCTTTGGTATATATGTATGTTCTTGCATTATGGTTGCCAGTCCTGATGAAAGTCTGTGTGTAACAGACTGAAACATCGATTTTTATTTATTTATTTATATATTTTAAAGAAGATTAAAAGCTAAGTTTTATATTTAATCTAAGTCCTGAGAGTGCTATCTTGATCATCGATCTTTTTATATTTATATATATATATATAACATATATATATATATATATTTTTTTTTTTAATATTTTTATATATATGTGTGTGTGTGTGTGTGTGTGTGTGTGTGTATATATATATATATATATATATATATATATATATATATATATATATATATATATATATAATATATTATTTCAATACAGTTAGAACGAAATAACATACATCTATATATATTTTTATTAAGCGATATATATATATATATATATATATATATATATATATATATATATATATATATATGCGCTAATATAAAAAATATATATAGATATATGTTATTTAGATTCTATTTATATGTAATATATATATATATTATATATATATATATATATATATATATATATATATATATATATATATATATATATATATATATATATACTTTATATATCTCTATCTCTCAAATTACACGTAGACTGGTACTGACTAAAAAAAAAATTATTTATATATATATATATATTATACACACACACACACACATACATATACATAAACACACACACACACTGTCTAGGTGTATTTTACTATTTATTTATTTACAGGTATGTGCTGGCTGGTTTTGGAGTGAGGTAAAGACAGGATGTAATGATCCATATGTTTTGTCAAGTGGGAATAGAGGAGGAATGGAGTGGTTTGGGTCATGGAGGTCGTAGTGAATTCTCTTGGTCGTAGAAATCCATAGAAAGCGATGTATATTGCTGTTTTGATGATAGAATTCGTATTAGTGTCAAACGGTTTTAGGTCAAGTAGGTTAGATAATGCTTTGAAGATATGGTTATCTATGGGTAGCCTCTGGGCCAAATGTGTGGGTTCTGATTTTTGAATACCTCTGAGTATGGTCTTAATTTGGTGAGAGGCCATGAAACTGTTGTTATTTGGGTGTAAGATGAGCATGTGGTGTTGAATGCCAGTGAGATAGAGTTTGATGGTGTTATATGACAATTTGAGTTTAAGGTGGCAAAAGGAAGCAAACCCCAAAAAAGATGTCATAACAAACGGTTGTATGATGTTATGTTCCAGAAGGAATCGTTTGAATAGTGTGAAAGCCCTGCTGTATGTTTTGTTTGTATTGTTTGAAAGTGCCAACTGGGACAATGTCCTGCTATGCTGCATGATGACGTCTAGTCCAGTATGAGTTGTTGAAATGTTGGAGTGATGGTGGCTGTGGGTGCTGCTGACGGGAGTGCTTGATGAAACTCCTGAAATTTAAAGCGAGACAAATTGTCAGCAGCTGTGTTATATACACCTGGCACATGGAAACAACATAAGAAGAAATTATGACAAGCTGCCAACCAAGTGAGTTTCCTCAGAAATCTCATGATCGTAAGAGATTTGGAACGACCTTTGTTGATGATGTGACAGGTTGCCTGGTTGTCTGAGTAACAACGCACTGGCGTATTAGCCCATAAATGACCCCACGCTACGGCAGCCGCCACTATGGGGTAGATCTCAAAAAGAGCTGAGGTAGTGGAAAAACCTTCCAAATCCAGAACTGCTGAAGGCCAGCTGCCCCAAAGCCATTCGTTCCCAAAAATTGCTGCAAAACCAGTGGTAGATGCCGCATCTGACCAAATGGTAGGAGATGATTCAGTCAATTGAGGGAGGAACATACTTTTACCATTCCAAGTGGTTAAAAATCTCTTCCACATGTTTAGATCTGCCGTAGCTTGGGCATCTAAGGACAACCTGTGCGTGTCATGTAGAAAAAGTGGGAAAAGATGCAATAGTCGTGAAATAAAGGAGCGGCCTTGAGGTATGATGCACATAGCAAAATTTAGTGACCCTAGCAGGGACTGTAGCTCTTTGCGGTTGCAAGTGCCGAGCTGTAGGTAGTTGTTTATGTACATGAGAATATTCTCTATCTTATCGTATGGTAGGCTTGCTTGCATTGTGGCAGAGTCTAATTGGATACCCAGATAAGTGATAACCGTGTCTGGCCCTTCTGTTTTCTTTGGGGAGATGGGTACACCTAGTTGCTCAAAAAGCTTAGTGGTAGCTTTGAGACTAGTGGGAGGTGAAGTATTCTCCTCGACCAGTAGGAAATCGTCCAAGTAATGTAATACCGTAGGGCATCCGGCTATGTTCAATAGTAACCAGCATAATGCTTCAGCAAATGTGTCGAAAATAGCTGGGCTATTTTTGGACCCAAAAGTTAACCGGGAGAAAAAATAGTAGTTCCCAGACCACTGGATGCCATGCAGGTGCCACAGTGTGGGGTGAATAGGGAGTAATTTGAAGGCATTAGTAATGTCGGTCTTACTGAGCCAGGCTTCAACCCCTGCTTGTATGATAGCTGTAATGGCGTGATCTATGGTGGTGTATTGCAGAGAGAATTCCTCCGAGGGTATAAGGGAATTAAGACTGGGGTTGGCCGATGAGTGGGGAGCCGATAAGTCAATGATGAGTCTCTGTTTTTGGGAAGATTTCCCTGTGACAATACCAATAGGGTTGGTGCGCCATTCTATGAATGGAGGAGTTCTATAAGCCCTCATCCACTTCTTGGGCTATGAGGGTGTCAACCACTGTGGGGTTGTGTTGGGCGGATTGTAGGTTAGAGCATTCCAGAGTTCCGGCTGGTATGTGTAGGATACCTGTGTGGAAGCCTTCTGTTAAACCAGAAATAAGAAAGTCTACCAGGTGTCTAGATGGGTGCTGAGACATCAATGCTGTGAATACTGGCATATTAATGGACGTAAGGTAAGGCTTAGAATACATTTTATTTGGACACATGGTCTTTGCATGTGCCCTAAAACATTTTGAACAGACATGCAATAGTCTAAATCCACTGTAATTACAAGACCCAACATTGAAATTATTACATATCTGGGACTTGCCCAGAAACTTGATTGGGCGTCCCAATTTGTCTTTTGAAAATTTCCCTGGATCCCCAGAGGAACTAGCTCCTTGCGTGGAGGCATGTCCGTCTGCCGTGTTGGGACAAAAATTAGTAGTATGGGCTGTGGAGGAGCA